TCTTCCAGAAAGTACAGGGCACAATCACGTCAATCGTGCATGGACACAAATTCGTGGGATCGTTTCGAGCGTGTTATGAATGCAGTACAAACATGACTCGAGATCGCTACTTCCTTCAGACTGAAAATATAAACGTTATACAAACATTATATTCAATAGGCACTCACACATAGTAACATAGCAGCAAATTTTATCAAAAAAAACCCACCTACATGTTTAGCATTGTTGAGTGTTTCGTGTTTTGTTCTCGTAGACAGAACTTATGTGCATATTTTGTCTAGACCACCATTGTTTAATTACCAATGGTTGGGTTTTCCAATGTTGACATGCAATTGCAATGAAGGTCTATAAAACAAATCGTTTTGGAAATAACACTTGTGGATTCCCAAGAGAGAATGCCAGCATATATTTAGCTACATAATCTTTGATCAGTTCCGAGTCTTTACGCACCTCTTGAAAGCATGCGATGAACCGCCAAACATAGTAGATCTTGATAGCTCATTTCTATCAAGAAGTGGATCAAATCTTGCCGACCCAGTCAATTTATCTACTCAACGTCATATTCCCAGGTTCCATTTTACGTCATGTGTTGTCAAGCCGCTGTGGTCGGGGGGGGGGGGGGGCTACCCATAGAGTTAAATTAAGGATTTATTTCACGATTTACATTTTCATAGAGAAAATCCCATTCTACTTTTTGAAGATTAAGTTGACACTTCAATCAAGGGTATTTATTCGCACATGGTGTTTCCGCAATCCTTTCATTATTAAGGGTATTTTCTTTGAATTAGCCACTCCCCAGAACCATATGTACATGGGAACGGTTCAAGCGCCCTTCATCGTTTCTTCTTTTCCAGCTCGAAGAGGGTAATGGTCTAGGCCTCTTTGTTTATGAAGTCCGAATAGAGTAACACGACAATATTAAAGGGAAGATACAACATTTGCAAACATCACAAAACGAAATGATCAAATTATTACGAAATACCTTACTAGATTGTTAGGAATGACAGTCTACATCATCCTGTAAAATCGTGGCTCCTGGTGTGCTGTCATTTTCAAGGAAAACAGTATTTTTCCAACGCTGGTCAGCCGACCAGCGTTGGAGATTACTGGCTTTTTTCAAAACTGCCTTTAATTTTTCATAATAAAGTATTGCGCGTTTTCTTCGCAATTGATTACACACCCGTGGAGGGGTACAAGCTTGCTAGACTGATTCTCTGACCTTACAGTTCCCCAAAGTCTATAAATTGCTCCGTTTCATATTAAGTGAGGTCAGGGATCCAGACTACAAGAACATGATTGGTATTCTTGGTTTTTCCCAGCATACCAGCCCAAAACGGGAAACAAGTCATTTCAACAGTATTTGCTATAACGTACTAATCCTCCAAATCGATTTATTTTTGAAAATAAAAGCAAAAAGTAAAAGCAAATGTTGTACATTCCCTTTAACCAGATAAGAGGGGACAGTAAGCCTGGTACAAAAACCCGAATATAACAGGCCAACTCGAGATTTCTGTTAAAAAAAGGATTCACGGCATGACATGAAGTTCAAGCGCCCTTCATCCCTTCCACATTTGAGGGGGTAATGGTCTTATATGCCTCTTTGTTTATGAAGTCCGAATAGAGTAACATGACAATTGACCAGTGACAGAAACGTGGACTAAACACGACTTATTGAATTTCACCTAAATGAATGCCTTATCAGGGACCTCGAAAAGTCGCTCACGAGGTGTTGTATCGCAATAATAAAATGGTAGGCCTATGTGTTAAAATGAAAAGGCGTCAGCATTGAACCATTCTGATGGTTGTGTTAGAATTGTCGGCACGCGCAGCACGCTTCTTAAACAGTTGTGAAAATCAAGGGGAAAATAAGCATTACCATATTAATTTACGCCATTAGGAAGGTCCGCTCAAATGATTAGATTTAAGGACGCCGAGGCAACGAAGACAAACATATAAAAACGTGAGTCCAAATGTACTCTTTAAAACGTGTTCTTTTACAAAGACTATATATGTCTGGCTTATGACATGAATATCAATTTAACAAATCTAGTATTATAGACCTTTATCATGCTACCACCATTTCAGTAAAGTTCCCTGTATCCAATAATAGTACGGAATGATAATGTTTTTCGGGCAAAAAGGAACCAGACTATTGTTCCTTCCAGCCTCGTTTTGGTTACGTTGATTTGAATGGGAAAATGAAGATGTCAGCAACATGATAATGGTCTATACTATGACGAATAAGATTTAATCCCTATACAAGCTGCAAGTCAAAGTTCTAAGTTATAAAGTAAACTTCCTATGAAGTTGATAAAGTAAAGTAGGCCTAAACTTAAGTTCTTATAAAGTTTCAAATAAGCAAGGTTAAAAGTACTCTATTAGTTAAAGTTTATAAAGTAATATACAGTTTTAAGTAGTTTAATAATTAAAGTTCATATAAAGTTATAACTGCTATTAGGTTGTAACTGCCATATTAATAATCGATTAATAACAAAGAAAATCAAATGTAACGAACCTAAACGTAAATTATTATAAGATAAGCATACAGTTGTTGATATACATTATGTTCTATAAAGTTATAACTGCTACTAGGTTGTAACTGCCATATTAATAACCGAATAACAAAGAAAATCTAATGTAACGAACCTAAACGTAAATTATTATAAGATAAGCATACAGTTGTTGATATACATTATGTTCTATAAAGTTATAACTGCTACTAGGTTGTAACTGCCATATTAATGTAGCGGTACGCCATTAAGGAGGTCCGCTCAAATAATTAGATTTAAGGGCGCCAAGAACAACCCAAGACAAACAGACAAAATCAAAACACCAGGAGGAGTCAAATTATGTTTGGTCTCATGAACTTGTTACAGATTACTTGTTTACAAAATCAATTACGATAGTTCTGGATCTGAATCTTAATCTAACTCACAAAACAAGTGTTACAAAATAACTTAGATTCAACTTTCAGCTCTATAAATTGTAATAACGTTGCCAATGATAAATTATAATCACAAAGTTTGTATTTCTAAAGTTGCCCCGGTTCCTAAGATTTCCAGGTTCCTAATATTCTTGGTTCTAATATTTTAATCAGGTTCCAAGTTCACAGGTTCCTAATATTCTTGGTTCTAACATTTTAATGAGGTTCCCCGAACGCCTGACCAGTGTACGGCTGTGTAGTGAACTAGGCCTCAAAATTGCACCTGACATGAAACAGTCGTATTGCAATAAATCAACATGTGACACACGGTGATTAAAACTTTGACATTACTTAAACTAATTCACCCCAAAATCACTCCTTTCGTCAACATGAAATAAACTAACACCTAGCCCAGCGGTAGCAGAGAACTTGCATTGTGACATTAGAATGTAAAGAAAATACAAATTTCGCTAATTTGAAACTAAAATGTTGGTTTTCAAGCACAAATCTATGCACACTATACTTACACTTCGGTGTGCAGGCAGAAAAGGGCTGATATTCGCGCGTTCACGGCACCAAGTGCGCGTTTGTATACATTTTTCTGGGCTGTGTGCCAATTGTACGGTGCCTCGTAAAAGACGTCTCACTACATTTATAACCGAATAACAAAGAAAATCTAATGTAACGAACCTAAACGTAAATTATTATAAGATAAGCATACAGTTGTTGATGTACATTATGTTCTAAAAGTATCCGCACCTTTACGCCTTTAACAATAGTAAATCAAGAAAAATAAACAACATGCACCTTGAAGTTAATTGCCAGCTACTTGTATAAATGACGTCATTAAAATACGTTCGTCCCTTCCGAAGAAATATTATGAAGATAATCATTTAAGTGTTTTGATACGTGTATTAAATATATCGGTTCAATATATACGCCTTTATAAGTACTTCAATAATCAAGATAAAAAAATATGCAACACCATAGAGATGCACCCATGTTTATGTTACATACGTAGTGTGCATGTTCTTTTGTTTTCGTGTAGTTAAGAGAAACCTGTAAAAAAAGGTAATTTCATTCACACTGTGAACATTCTTTCAACCCTATTTTTTTTTCTGACACCCTTCAGTGTTTCTTTTCATTTTGTCACAGATAAACCTAGACCCAAAAATCCTCTAAAACCGTTTTCCAGAGAGGGGGAAACACTGTTTGGACGTGGGCAAGTCCACACAACGCCGCTGCTACCTGGTTTGTGTAGACCTCTTTTGTTCAGAAGTCTACACAGTGAATGTAATGCTTGTACACCATATTAGTTCTAGATATACTGTCAGAGAAGACACTAAAAAAAGGCAATAACAAGTGGTGAGCGTCTACATTGAAGCTAACAGATCGTATCTTATTTTTTCAAAACCCACCAAAAGTCTGTTGGCGGCCTTCCGTGTATCCCATACAATGAGGCAAAATAAATTACCAGTCTCTATACTTACATCATAGGCCAAACGACCACAACTGCAAGTGCATGACACGCCTAAACAAGGAGGATATTGGTGGGCGTCTACTTCGGGGCCTTTACTCTAAGTTACATTACCTGTCTCAACTTAGATGGCGCATAACAAAACCCTCAGTTTGTTTAAAACCAACTCTAAAGCTTGTTGAAAGCCTTCCATACAAGGCAAGATAAATTACCAGTCCCTTCTTACATCCAAAACCAAGCTATCACAAGTGCACAAGTGCACACACAAATAAAAAAAGAATAACTAAGTGTTTAAACCCATACCGAAGCCTGTTGACATCCTTCCGTGCATCCCATAAGGCCAGTTAAATTAACAGTTTCTGCTTACATCAAAAGACAAGCCACTACAATTGCTAAGAAAGAAACTCACAAAACAAAGAGAACAGCATGGCGGTGAGCGTCTGCTCTTGGCCTAAACTCTAAGTCTTCCTCAACCTCACCCAAAATTTGTTGATTGCTATAATGACGTGCATTCCATGACTATAATTGAGCGATTCAAATTAACAATCGATACTTACATCAAAACAAATTTTAGGAGAAATTTGTGACATTTTAGGAGAACAACATTTGGTGGCGTCTAGGCCCATAAGTCAGTATTAATCTGCTTCAAAAACTATTTCGAAAGGTTGTATGGCCTTCCAACTCTGCTTACAACAAAATCCAGGCCATGACGACTACAAGCACAGAAACACAGAAAGCAATAAGAATGACGAGATGGCGGGCGTCTTCTATTGGGCCAATGGGTCTTGTCTTGGTTGGCTTCTCGATCCGCTCCCAAACCGTGTTGATGGCCTTCCGGGCTTCATCATTCTTCCCAGGACCCACCAATCGAAACTGGTATGGTACAAGGGGTCCGAACAAGCACCGGAGAGTCAGCACGGGATCGGTGAGGAAGAGCTTCAGGAAATTTGGCTCGACTCCGATCTCAGACGCCAGACTGATGCAGTAGGCTTGGAAATCACTGTGTCGGTGGTTAGGTAAACATGCGGCCTTCATGGCTTCGTCAGTCGCCTTCACCTCAGCCTCCATATCCGGCTGGGATGGTAGCTTAGCCAACCCTTTGAACACCCTCGAAGCCCAGCGAGCCTGAAGCTCGACGCACGGGAGGACTGCGGCTAAGGGTCTGATGGCGCCGTTGACCGACAGCGTGTTGTGCTTTAGACCTAAAGGAAACACCAACTTGTACAACGGCAGGTGGCCATCTTTCATCTCCAGTGCTTGGCAATCAACCTCCAAGGGCAGCGTGTCCTTGTAGCCGGTGGCCATGATGACGGCATCGATGTCCTCCTCGGTGGTACCGTCTTCAAAAACCACGCCCGTCTTGGTGAAGCTTGCGATGTTTGCCTTGATCATCACTGTGCCACTGATGATACAACCTGGCATGTCCTCTGTAATCAGTGCCTCGCCGGCCAACAAATCGTGGGCCGGCCTCAGAGAATTATAGAGCATCTTGAACTTACGTTTGAGGGATTTCACGAAAAGCATGACGTGAAGTTTTGCTGGTACCAGGTGGAATCTTCTGTAAAAATGGAGATCCCACGGAATACCGTAGTCTCCAATGCGATTGACTATCCACACGCCACGTCTGGTACTCAAGTACACCTGTTACAATAGAGAAAGAGTAATAAACCAGAAGTGATCATCGGTCAGCTCAGTCTTAATGTTGAAACGAAGCATGCATTACGCAAACCTACCTGTGATGCCAGGCGACTGACGTCTACAGCTGCATCCCCTGCTGAATTGCCAATCCCAACTACAACCACTCGTTTGCCTTCGAATTTCTCTGGCCTCCGGAAAGCCTGGCTGTGAATAACCTCCCCCTGGAATCCCTCAAGGCCTGGAAACTCTGGGACGTTAGGGTTGTTGAGCATCCCAGTGCAGATCATCACAGAATCAAACTCCTGGCTGAACTCCTCCACGTGCCCAGACACTCCTTCCGCTTGGCTAGTGACGACCCATCGCCCAGCAGCCTCGTAGTCTGGTGCCTGAGCCAAGCGGGTCACTCTCGTAGAGAAACGGATGTGCTTCTTGAGGCCAAACTTGTCGGCGTACATGTCCAGGTACCTCTTCATGTAGCTGTGGTGCAGAAAATTTGGCCACTCGCCTGGAAAAGGGAAGTCGCTGAAGCTCGTCACCTCTTTGCTGGTGTTGGTAATGGTCGATTTGTAGACCGTGGTCATTATCCCGTATTCACTGTTGTCGCGGTAGTACCACAGACCACCAATGCCATCTGACCTCTCGAAGCACGTTGGTTGCAGGCCTTCGTCCAGGCAGCACTTGACTGCAGTTAGGCCAGAAATTCCACAGCCAATGACGGCAACTGTCTTACTGCGTTCGCTCATCTGCAAAGTCAAATCGTAGCATTTGGTCAGACATGTCGATGAAAGAGAATGGAACTTCAGATTAAATATTTTTACGGAACCGGGCTGATACTTATATAGCCATGCTTTATTTAAATATTTACTACTGAAAATAGATATAATCTAAAGATCGCAAATTTCTATTGAACGCGTGTTTTTAGAAAAGTTGTGAAATTTACAGAAAGCTTCGTAGCCAGCCGGCATTTTTTGGTCTTCAGTTTAAATATTTTTACGGAACCGGGCTGATACTTATATAGCCATGCTTTATTTAAATATTTACTACTGAAAATAGATATAATCTAAAGATCGCAAATTTCTATTGAACGCGTGTTTTTAGAAAAGTGGTGAAATTTACAGAAAGCTTCGTAGCCAGCCGGCATTTTTTGATACTACACTACGTGTGAATACACCTGGCCTTACGGCAACGAGCACAAATGCACGCACGCGACCCTAGCATTGCCAATGTTATGAAGGAGCTCTATAAATACAGTGGCATTACTCAAAAAGCGATTTTATATAAAAACATGCAATGCAAAGCCACACATTAATAAAGCGAAGTAAACCCATTTTGTATCTGACTTGTACAGGCTAAGTCAGAAAGAAAGTGACCTAGATTAATGACGTTTTCCCCCTTAAAGGTCTGAACGAAATGATGTTAATCGGAATTAAGATCATTTAAAAGTAAGATACAAACATCCACCCAACTACCCTTCATGTAGAATTCTTGTTTTATTTGTGCGAGAACGACTTTCGGGGTCCTCTTTTGCGTCACCAAAACGTCGGGCTGTTCGTGCTAGTTGTGATTCCAGCCGTAAGGGTTCGCCTTTTGCGGACGTGTAAAGAAACCACATTTTATACTTACAGAAAACAAGATTTGCCAAACATATATACTTGCAAAAAACAAGATTTGCTTAACATATACATCAACGAAACAAGACTCGCCAAATATTCATCCAAAACATATACTTGCAAAAGAGCAATTTATACATTTGATGGCACTAAAGGGCTTTCGTACTGTGGCGTGATGGGGTGGGCCGACACCAGTCTAATTCCCCTTATTTGGTAGTGTTTACTTGTAATTTCTTGGCAAGGAAGTCAGGTCGTGTCAGCGGACAATGTCTCGTGGTTTTGGCGGGAGTGGCCGCCAATCGGAGCGCGCTCGCTGTTGCTGGGCGGGGCGAGGCAGGCCGTGACCGCACTGCGATCTGTGTTTCCTGTACCCGCGTATGCGTGATTGGTGTTACCGGGCAGAGGTGAAGGGTTGGCGGCCAATCACGGCGTGATTGGGCGTGGCCCCGCTACCCTTGCCGTGGTACTTGAGCGCATGGTCGGCCGGGCGTGAGTCAGTTCAATTAGTTCAGTTGGTTCAGTTGCGTGAGTTGCGTAAGTTGTTCCTCAGTTCTGTGAATGGAGCGGGTTCAGTAGTAGTGTACAAGTGAAATTGCCATTGTCCGTGACGAAGCTAGCGTTTGCTTTGGCGAGGCCGTGTGTGGTGCAGTGTACCGGTGTTGACGCTGTTTCGGCCTGACTTCTCGTACCGTGCTTGAGCGATTGTACGGAGCGCAGAGCCCCGTGGTGTGACCCAGTTAGCCTGGTAGGACCGAATTGCTTTATCGTGTAATTCAGTGCATTTTTGTACCATTGTTGCAGTTGAGTGTTTGACTTACAGAGTAGGGTGACTAAGTACAGGCATAAGGATTGTTGTCGTGGGTTCACGGAGACGTGCGATAACATAGAGGGTCGACCCAGAGGTTGACATAGAGGCCTGGGAGGAATAGTCACAGGTAGTCAATAACTGTACTCGGTCAAGTTTATTGTCACACGGGTTTTGTCGTATACTGATCAGCTAAGGCGCTCAAACTTATACAATCATAACAATCCAACGATAATAACCTTATAAATCAAAGAGTTCCCAATCAAGCCAGAATTGTCCGTGATTAAATAAACCAATCATTTCCTTTCCACAAAGAGAATTGTGTATCCCAGTGTCCAATATTTCTGCAGTTTCTTCGTCTGTTTGTTCTGTTCTGTACTAGAGTAACAGGGCCTGGTAATCAGTATCCAACTGGGCGGTATATTTCCACCAAAACGAGCTTGCATCCCTGGGCCTAGAGGCTGCTCGAAAACTTCCCTAGGTTCGAGGCAGAAAACATAGTTTGGGGTTAGGGGAACTTTCACCTCAGTCGGTGAATGCCTTCCCTGACCTCTGGTTTCAATTGACCTCGGGAGATTCCGCCACAAATGGTGTCAGAAGTGGGATAGTTGGTGCTGATTAAAGAGTTGGCCAGTAGAGAAATCAAGCAGGATTTTGAGTACAGTGATTTCTGTGGTTGAAGAGTAATCATAGAAAGAGACAAACATGAGTCAAGAGAATACTTCGAGTATTGAGAGTGAACTGCAGAAGCTGAGATTAGATGCTCAATTTTTGCAATGGGAGAAAGAGTTGATGGCTAAGAAATTAGAAGCCATGAGAGCCAATTATGAGGAACCTTCCCCGGTGGGAAGTATAGACAAAAAGAGCCAAGAACAGGGGCTAGTGCGGATCGATTCGGAAATCGAGTTCCAGATGCCAAGAGAGAGTTCTGGTTATTTTTCCCAGGGAGGGGCGAGTCCCTCGGTGACCGCACGGTCGCCTGAAGTTGAACTTGGACCGAGGATGGGAAAAAGAGTGAAGTTTGGGGAAAGTACACCCCTTAAGAGTAGTGGTGTAGGAAGTACCCGACCAGAGATTTTAACGGGGAGCAGTGCAATAGAGGAGCTCCAGTCCTTTCTGTTGAGCACGGATAGCACTGTAGAGAACCCGAGTAGGGGAGAAACAGTTTCTCCTGAGAAAGTAAATAGAGATTTGCTGAGTTTCGCCCCGAGTTCAGTGGGCACAGGTGCCAACAGTTTGGCAGGTAGTTTAAAGACCTCAGCAGGGCCCTTAACGCCGACAAGTGAGCCCAAAGTAGTGGCAGAGAAAGAGAGGAGTGTCGAGCGGCCAATTAGTAGACGGCCAAATATCACTCCTGATAGATACAATGGCAAGGTGCTATGGAAAGAGTATTTCAGGCACTTCGAGTCTTGCCGGTTGGTGAATCAGTGGAGCGAAGAGCAAGCGGCTAAATATTTGGTAGCTAGTTTGCAAGGCAATGCCCTAAGATTGTTGGGTGACGTTCCCACTGAAAAGACACAGTCCTACAGTGGTCTGTTGAAGTTGTTAGAACAGAGATTTGGCTCAGGCCGCCAGAGTGAAAATTACCTTGTCGAGTTGAGGCATCGCCGACAAGGCCCAAAAGAGTCATTGCAAGAGTTAGGCCAAGCCATACAAGAGTTGACGGTTAAAGCGTACCCTGACATACAGGAAGAGTCACGTGACCGGTTGGCTAAGAACCATTTTCTAGATGCGGTCGAAAGTAGGTCAACTCGGGAGGGCATAAACAGGGCTCGTCCTGAAAATTTAGATGAGGCCATTCGAGCTGCAATAGAAACAGAGAATTTCGAAAAAGTCGAGCAACAGAGAATGCTCGATGGAAAGCCTCCGAGGTTGGCTAGAGTGTTAGATACCGGGGTGGAACAGAGGATCCACGAATTGGAGAATGGAATGAAAAGTTTGGCTGGACTGTTAACAGAGTTAACGAAACAAATCCAGGAAAAGAGTGACCTAGTGGGGAAACCTGCTGACCAGAAGTCACAAAAGAGTGAGCAAAGTGTTAGGAAATGCTTCAATTGTGGGGAGCGAGGTCACTTTGCGCGAGAGTGCAAGAAACCAAAGAAGAGTAGTCCAAAGCGTGATGGCTGGAAGTGTTTCAATTGCGGAGAGCACGGCCACATTGCCAGAGACTGTAACAGACCCTCAGGGGGAGAGCCTGGGGCAGGAAAAGTCGAGCCAGCTGCTCGAGGGGCCCGTAGGCACCTCGGAAGTGCTAGAGGGGCAAAGAGACGATGGAGAGATTGCAAGGGGGCCATAGGAGAGAAGCGGCGAAAGTATGAGGAGGGAAAGGTAATTACGTTACCGAACCCAAATAGTGATGCCCGCTTTGGTTTGTTTGTAGAGGGTGTAGTGAGAAAAACCAAGTGCCAATTTTTGGTTGACACTGGTGCCACAGATACATTAATTAGTAGCACAGTGTATTATGAGATACCCAAGGAACAGAGACCAGTCTTAGAGTCAGACAATGTGAAAGTGAAACAGGTGGATGGAAGTTCCCTGTCGGTGTTAGGAGTCGCCTGGGTCGAAGTTCAAGTTGGACGAACAACGCACCCAGTCAGGGCGATTTTTACAGAGATGAAGTATCCCGGAATTCTGGGGATGGATTTCTTGTTGCCCACAGGGGGTAACTTGGATTTCCACACCAAAGAGTGGAGAATAAATGGCGAGAGAATTAAATGCACTAGTAGTGCTGGAGAGCCATTTGTTGGGAGAGTGGTAATTGCTGAAGCAACCGTGATTCCATCTGGTTCTGAGGCAGTAGTGCCTGGCACTATTGCTCACAGAGGAAAAGAGTGGGCTGGCCCAGCCATAGTGGAACCGCTAGAGGGGGGCGGAGATTTAGCCCAGAAAGGCTTGGTGTTAGCCAGGTCACTAGTGGAGTCAGGGGACCAAATTGTTCCGTTGCGGCTGTTCAACCCAGGAAAAGAGAAAAGAGTGGCGCGAAAAGGGACCACTGTGGGATTAATTTCCACCGTGGACCCTGAGACAATAAGAGGTGAGGCACATGAGTCTGAAGAGGCAAAGGAGGGCTTGCCCCCATATTTGCAAGACTTGTATGCAAGGAGTAGAAACCATGTAGAGACCAATTATCATGGTCAAGTTAAGGAGTGCTTGATAGAGTTTCAGGATGTTTTCTCCAGCAGTGAGCAGGATATTGGTGCAACTGATGCCGTGAGGCATCACATTGATACTGGAGAAGCGAGACCAATAAAAGAGAGGCCGAGACGACACCCCGACTGTGTCCAGAGAGAGATACAGAGACAGGTCATTGACCTGGAGAAAAGAGGTG